GCACGTGGCCTGGTACGGTAGCCTGATAGGGATAGGAGGAAGACAGGGTGGAGGAGCCGGCACGTGGCCTGGTACGGTAGCACCGGGCCTCTGCCATGACCCCTGTCTTTCTTGAATTGCTGGTTTAATATTTCTTTTTTTTTTTTTCTTTCTTTTCTTTTTTTAAAATTTTTTTATCTTTTAGTGTGCATGGGTGTAAACTTCACTAGTGGACCAAAAACCTGTACCAATCATTGCCTTTTTAAAAATTATGCCTTTGGGTTGGCCTGTACTCACAGTTATCCAGGAAATTGAGGCAGGGGGAACCCAAGTTTAAGGGCAGCCTAGGCATTTAGCAGGACTCTGTCTCCAAATTGAAAAGGAGCCAGGGAGGTAGCTCAGTGGTGGGACACTCGCCTAGCGCTCATGAGCCCAAGTCCCAGCTCCAGCCCTACAACCAGAGAAGCTGTTTGAGGTCCAGTTCTCTTATGCACAGCCCGGACCCCAGGGTGCAGTCCTGGAGCTTCAGTGTGTCTGGGAGTCACATGACCACCAGCCCTGTCAGTGCTGGGCATTTTCACCCTTTGGGAAGCCGTGCCCTGAATTCACTTCTCCACTGGCCTATGTGACTGAGTCCTCTGTCCCCATGTGCAGGGCTCTTGGGCTTGCTCTGACAGGACCCACTTCTGGGAGCAGGCAGGCCTCAAATGGAACATTTCTACCTTCTAAACAAGGCAGGGACATCAGAAGGGGACATGTTTTCCACCTGGATTGTGTTTTCAGATTTTATGAAGAATTTCCGATCAATGTGAAGACAGGGGAATCCAACCTCACCCAGATATACTTACAGGTGAGGGGCTGGGCAGGCCAAAGGCAATATGGCAGACAGGTGAGTGGCCAGCAGGTGGGACACGGGGCAAACAGTGACCGCCAGTGTCCCCCAGGAAGCCCTGGACTTCATCAGGCAGCAGCAGGCTGCAGAGCGCCCGTTCTTCCTGTACTGGGCTGTGGATGCCACGCATGCGCCTGTGTACGCCTCCCGGCCTTTCCTGGGCAGCAGCCAGCGTGGACGGTGAGCACCTAGAACAGCATGGGCCTTGGGCTCCCAAGAGCCGGGTGGCAGGGGGGCTGTGCAGTCGCTGTTGTCTCCGCCCTCATGGGTTCCCCTCAGCAAGGGCCAGCCTGCCCCCGGTACTCCATGATGACTCTGGGTGTCCTGCTAATGGGCTGTCACCATCCACAGGTATGGGGATGCAGTTCGTGAGATCGATGACAGTGTGGGGAAGATGCTGAACCTGCTGCAAACCCTGAACATCGCCGAGAGCACCTTCGTCTTCTTCACCTCTGACAATGGTGCCGCCCTCATCTCTGCTCCCAGCCAAGGCAGGTGCCTGGGGTCCAGGAAGCGGCCATGTAGTAAGCCCCCCATGGTATGGGCACTAGGCAGGGGTTTGACATCACAGTGCACACGGTCGGGACCCCCAAGGGCTGTGAGAACTGGACCAGGACTGGCTGCATGTGCCACACATTCCAAGGGCATGGGGCCCCCAGGAACTGCTGACTGGGACCCCTTCACAGGGAGAGAGCCTGACTCACTAGCAGGCCATCAGGCCCACATCTCCATAGGGACCAGAGATCCCTGTTCCTCACGGGAACTTGCAGCCAGAGCCTCCCACACCGTAGCCTGACAGTCGCCCAAGCCCCAGACCTGGCCTGGCCCTTTGTCCCTGCAGTGAGCCTCTGACTGGCATGGCCTTGGAAGGGAGGACGGGAAGCAGTACTGGCTGGGCCTGATGGGTGGCGGCTCCCCAGGTGGCAGCAACGGCCCCTTCCTGTGCGGGAAGCAGACCACATTTGAAGGTGGGATGAGGGAGCCTGCGATTGCGTGGTGGCCCAAGCACATCCCTGCTGGCCAGGTGAGTCGGCGCCACCATGGCGGCTGGTGCCAGTAGCTGTGGGCATAGCATTTCTGGGGAGAGGTGTCATGGTGCACTGGTGCTACGAGAATAGAGAGCAGCACAGGCCAGCTGGATGCATGGTGTTCGTCAGCCACAGGCTGTGGTCTGTTTGGACAGGCATGCGGGTGACCGTGGTGGGCACGGTGTGTGCCCTGCTATATCCCCAACCTGGCACAGCATCAGCATCTACCCCTGCACAGGCTTCACCTGTCCATCGCCTGCCAGTGCAGCTCCTGAGCCTGGTGCCATGTGCCTGCCCACTGCTGGTCCTTTCTGGCCTTTTCTGGTCTCAGGGGCAGTGCTCCATGCTTAGGGCAGCTCTTTACCCCCCTCCCCATAGTGGTGTGTGGGGAGCCCATGGCCTCTTGTGGCAACTAGGAGGCTCCAGAGCAGAACCTTGTTTCCTGATGGCCTGTCCTCTGGACAGCTGTGCTCCCAGGCCTACTGGCCTCCCAAGGCTCTGACCCACCTGACTGACCACGCGTCTGGACAAGCTGGGTGACCTGGGTGGTGCTGAGGTCTCCAGTGAGTCAGCCACATCCGTTGCAGGTGAGCCACCAGCTGGGCAGCATCATGGATCTGTTCACCACGAGCCTGGTCATCGCAGGCCTGAAACCACCCAGTGACAGGGTGATCGATGGCCTCGACCTGCTCCCTGCCATGCTGCAGGGCCAGCTGACAGATAGGTGGGTACCAGTGACACGCACCTCTGTCCCGGCCCTCCTACCTGGTGGCCACAGCTGGTGCCTGCTCTCTCCTTCCTTCCCTCCCTCATGCCCTCCCTCCCTTTATCTGTCACACATATTCAGCCTCACACCCATACTCCTGCCCACCATGACCTGATTGTTCTTGTGGCCTCAGCTTGTGTGTGAGGGAAGGACAGACTGCCCCACCCTGTGCCCAGCCTAGCCCGACATTACCTTTGCAAATTTAACCTCCTCCATCCACATTTGCCTCCACAGACCAAGTTCTGGGCAGCTGTGAGGAGCATAGATTCAGAAAGCTAAGAACCATAACTGAAAGTAGAGAGAGCGTGGGGAGCCCCTGTGGCATCTCGGTGTGGGGAAGCATGCAGGAGAGTTTGCCCTTGATTTCAGAATTGCTTATTTTTGTCTTGAAACCTGGCCCAAAAAGTTGGATACTGGAGGTGCTAGGCACCCAGCTGCCCAGCACCCAGCCCTGCCTTGCCAGGGTCCAAACACCAGAGGGTATGCTATGGGCCAAGCCCTGCAGCCTCGTGGGCCACTTCCTTTTCTTTGCTGGGGGAGACCTATGGTTGAACCCTGGGCCTGGCGCAGGTGGGCGGGCTCTGTCCTGAGCCACCCCCAGCCACTTTCCATGCCTCTGGACAGCCCCATCTTGCCTAAGTCATCTTTTTAAATGTCACCTGAAGCCTTGCTCCCTGGCCATGCACCCACTGAGTCCCCCACCTCAACGCAGGCTAGGCATGACCCTCCTCTCCCTTCCTACAGGCCTATATTCTATTACCGTGGCAACACCTTGATGGCTGTCACCCTTGGCCAGCACAAGGCCCACTTTTGGACCTGGACCAACTCCTGGGAAGAGTTCAGACAGGTACAGGGCTCAGGTGCAGGTCCTGGGTGAGGCTGGCCGGTGTTGGTGCCCACCCTGGCTCAGAGGCTGGGACCACGGTGGGGGCTTGGACACTTCTGCTGCCCTAAATGTGTTTCTGGAATACCCGGAGCTGTTCGGACGTGGCAGGTCACTGTAGGGACATCTGTCCCCTCTTAAGGACACCCAGGGTACAGGCCCAGGGCTGGTGCAGGGAGTGCTGTGTCACAGTGCTAGCCAGGGTGTGAGCCAGAGAAGGGAAAAGTGGCTTCCCCTCCATGGTCCGGGCTGCCACAGAGCTTCTCTCTAGTGTGCCCACCCAGCCACTTGGCTCACCAAGGTCTTTGGACGGCATGAAAACCCTGCTAATTTGCCTTTCATGAGCAGAAAATTAATGTAAATTCATGAGAAATCTAAGTGTGAGAATTGCAAACTGGCCCAGGAGTTGGGTGAAAGCAGGGAGGTCAGGGGGCTGGGCCAGGGAGCAGGCCTGGGCTGGGAGTATGAGATGGACTTAGAGCTGCCCGCGGGCTGGGGCTGGAGGGCACCAGTACAGGACCAAAAGCCTCAGGTGTGCCCAGGGCACTGCCACAGTCCTCCCAGCTCCTGCGCAGTCACCCCACCCAGGCCCTCCTAGCCCTGTGGTCACTGTCCTGCCTCCAGGGGCCAAGAGCTGAAGGAGTACTGCGGTGGGTAAGGTGGGCAGTGACCGGCCCTGGGATGCCCTCTGCAGTACCTGTGCTGCCCCAGGACCCTGGGGTCTGGGTGGCTTGAAGCAGGCTGGGCTGCATGGGTCCCTCCCTGGCCCCTGACTGTGACTGGGCACATAGTGGCCTTCTGTCCTTTGGCTTCTTAGGGCCTGTGAGGGCCAGGTACAGTCAGGAGGGGTCCCCACCACCTCTGCAGAGGCTCGAGAGGGAGATCAGGAGGACCCACCCCAGGGATCCAGCCCTCTGAGTGCCTTCACCCATGTGTCCCTCATCCCTTTCCTCCTGGGCTGGTGCTGGAGTCAGGACTGGTGAGAGGGGAGGGGAGGAGCCCATTGAGGGCCGGGGATCAATTTTACAGCCAGGTCAGGTCTTTTCTCTTACAGAATAAATGGGGTGGGGATCTAGCCAGCACCCACCTAGGGGACCGCAGTGGGGACTGAGCACCCCACGTCCTGCTCCAGGGTCACAGGTCCCTATACTGTCAGCCCTCCTTGCCCTTTTTGCTTGAGACCCTGCTGTTGGGATCGTCATCCCCTCTGTCCATGCTGTGGCCTGCCTGCGTGCCTGGGGTCCCTGGTGCTATGGGCCCACCACATCCCTGCTGTAGTGCCTTGCTGCAGGTGACAGTTCACTCTTCTGTCCCATGGTAACTGACCAGTGACTGGTGGCAGTCCTGTACCACATGATCCCTGTGAAGACCCAGGCAGTGCTGTGTGACCCTGGAGAAATGCAGAGGATGTTGGGCCTAGCCATGTGGCCTCTGAGCTCCTTGCCTGTGTCTGTCCCTACCATCCTGCTGTTGCAGTCAGCACCTGGCCTCCAGCCACTACCTGTGCCCTGCTCTAGGACCAGGTACCCCCATCAAGCTGCTCCTGGAGGGCAGTGTCATGAGCTGCCGGACACAGTCCTTTTTTTTTTTTTTTTTTGGTGGAACCGGGGATTAAACTCAGGCCCTTGTACTTGCCAGGCAAGTGCTTATTCTACTGAGCCATCTCCCAGTATCGCCCCCCCCCC